TATGAAAATTGAAATACCTCTGTTATGTTATTTATGACTTGTGTGCAAAATTTGAGGTCAATCGGACGTGATTTGATAGGTTCCGGAGTTATTTGTAGAAATTAGAAATTTCAAAGTTCATTAGGCTTGAATAGGGTGTAATTCATGGTTTTAGTGTTGTTTGAGGTGATTTGAGGGTTAGACTAAGTCCGTATGATGTTTTAGGACTTGTTGGTATATTTGGTTGAGGTCCCGAGGGGCTCGGGTGAGTTTCGGATGGTTAACGGATTGGATTTTGGACTTGAAACTCTGCTGGAATATTTCTGATACACCATCTGGTTTCCTTCATCGCGTTCACGAGTGGAGCCTCACGTTCGCGAAGAGGAACTGAGAGTCTGGCAATATTTTCTCTTCGCGTTCGCGAAGAGAAGCACGCGTTCGCGAAGGGTGGACCGGGGATGCATCGCGAACACGAGATGTGTTACGCGTTCGCGAAGAAGAGAGGAAGCAGCTGAAGCCCCCAGGCAATTGGTCTACTCATTCGCGTCGCGTTCGCGTAGTGAGAGGGAACGAAGCATCGCGTTCGCAATGGGTTGAACGCGTTCGCGTAGAAGGCATTGAAGCAGAGGCATTTTGTGCTTCGCGAACGCGAGGGTGATGTCGCGTTCGCGAAAGAGGAATTTGGACGGGAGTTATTTTTTGCTTCGCGAACGTGAGGCACTGACCGCGTTCGCGAAGAAGAAAAGTCTGGGCAGTGAGTTTAAGTTCTGAAAATGGGACTTTGTCCCATTTTCAGTTTTTGGCGATTTGGAGCTAGGAAGTGAGGCGATTTTGGGTAATTTTCAGAGAAAACAACGGGGTAAGTATTCTTAACTCAATATTGGTTAAATTACCCGAATACATGGTTGTTTTTATCATTTAATTGGTGAATTGAGTTGGAAAAATTTGAAAACCCTCTTGGTTTAAATCGAAGATTTGAGGGTTGAGTTGGGGTCGGATTTTTGTAAAATTGGTATGGTTAGATTCGTGGTTGAATGGGTTTCCGGATTTTGTAACTTTTATCGAGTTCTGAGACGTGGGCCCCACGGACAATGTTTGAGCTAATTTTTGGGTTTTTATGGAAAATCATTATAATCTTGTGGAATTAATTCCAATAAATTTTATTGACTGAAACGAATTATTTATGACCAGATTCGAGGCGTTTGGAGACCAATTAACGAGGAAAGGACATTCCAGAATAAGAATTTCGCGGTTTGAGGTAAGTAACGATTGTAAATCTAGTCCTGAGGGTATGAAACTCCGGATTTCGTATTATTCTACTATTTTGAAGTGACGCACATGCTAGGTGACGGGCGTGTGGGCGTGCACTATTGGGGAATTGTGACTTGGTCCGTCCTGTAGCAACTGTAAAGTTGCATACTTTGTTGAAACCATTTGATACTTATATGTTTTAGAAAGAATTTCTATAAATTGGGTTGAATGCCATGTTTGGGCCTTGCGCCAATGCTATTTGGACCCTTAAGGGTTGTTTCTTACCATCCTCTCACTGTTTTCGATTGAAAATCTATACTCAGTCATGTTTATACTTGTTTACCGCATAACTCAGTTTTTGACTTTATTTTGATGTATATAAATGTTGTTTTGGGCCGAATGCCCTATTTTACTGAAATGCCCGAGTGGCTTGAGAGGTTTATGACTGAGAGAGGACGAGGGCCTGATTTGTGAGGATGAGTGTGGATCGGGGCTGCCCGCCTGCAACATATTTATGACTGAGTGAGGCTGAGGGCCTGATTTGTGAGGATAAGTGTGGATCGGGGCTGCCCGCCTGCAGCATATTTTATTATTATAGCACGTGAGTTGTCCGTGCAGATTATAGCGCTTGGGCTGAAGGAGCCCCTCCGGAGTCTGTACACACCCCCAGTGAGCGCAGGTACCTACTGAGT